TCTCTTGGAGGCCTCTTTGGCCGCCTTGGGCCATCGTAGGGCCATCTTCGGCCGTCTTGGTGGGCTCCTGGCCCGTCTGACGCCGTCTTGGGGGCCTCTCTGGGCCGACTTGGGGCCTTCTTGGAATGCTCTAGGGCCGTCTTGGAAACTGTCTTGGGCGTCTTGGAGGCCTCTTGGGCCGTCGTTGGGCCCTCTTGGGGCCGTCTCGGGGGCCTCTTGGGCCGTTTTGCGGCCATCTTGGAGGCCTCTTGGGCGATCTTTGGGGGCTCTTGGGTCGTCTCGGGCCGTCGGAAGGCCGAAAAGAAGCAAACGCCCAAATCCTTCAAAAACCCAAGGACAATCCGTGATTTCGGCCTCTTCGGGCTTTCCTGGGGGCTCTCTTGGAGGCCTCCTAGGCCATCTTAGAGCCATCTTGGGCCGTCTTGGTGGGGGTCCTGGCCCGTCTGACGCCGTCGGAAGCCGCCTTGGGTGCCTCTCTGGGCCGACTTAGGGCCTTCTTGGGGTGCTCCAGGGCAGTCTTGGAGGCTTCCTTGGGCGTCTTAGTGGCCTCTTGGGTCGTCTTTGTGCCCTCTTGAGGCCGTCTTGGTGTCCTCTTAGGCTGCTCTGGGGCCATCTTGGGGGCCTCTTGGGCGCTCTGGGGGCGATCTTGGGGGCCTCTTGGGCCGTCTTGTGTCGTCGGAAGGCCGACAAAGAGCAAATACGAAAATCGCTCAAACACCTAAGGAAAATCAGTGATTTTAGCATCTTAGGGCCCTCCTGGAGGACCGGAGGCCTCTTGGGCCGTCTTGGAGGCCTCTTGGACACCTCTTGGGCAGTCTTGGGCCGTCTTGGAGGCTTCTTGGGCGTATCTGGAGGTATCTTGGACCCTCTCAGACCGTCTTGGAGGCCATCTTGGCCGTCTTGGGCTTATCGTGGAGGCCATCTTGGGCAATCTTGGCCGTCTTGGAGGCGACAGGGGGAACCACCCGGGCATTTTGGGAACCTTCCGGGACCCCGACGGGACAGGCCGAAGCCCCAGGAAATTTTCTGAAAGAACCAAAGTCGAAAGGCCTCCTCCTTCTTATCCTGCTTTTTTTTCCTCCTGATCTTCCCCGCCATCCTCCCCCAAGTGTTCCCCGAAGGGTTTCCACAACGGTTGGGGGAACACATGGTCCGATAGCTTGGCAGAGCTCTTGCCACAACGCTGGGACACATGGGCGCTTTTAAACCTCTTGCTCCCCCACGCGTTCCCCGAAGTCTCTCCAAACCGACTCGGGGAACAACTGGCCCGATAGCTTGGTCAAGCTCTAGCCCAGCTGTCGGCCACATAGGCGCTTCCACAATAGCAGGGGGCGGCGGTGATTCGCCGTAGGCGTCTTCGATAGAAAGAGTATAGCACGCCGGGCACCCCTGTGGCAAGCCAACAGGGGGCAGCGGATGACGGAAAGCGCGCGTAGCGTGCGATCCGTTAGTCGGAAGAAATGAAACTAGGGGGAGTTCGAGGGGGGTGGCATTTGGACGGGCAGGGATAATGGCCCTATTGGGGGTTTTCCCAAGGGTTTTGCAGGTTTTTCGGGTTCTCTCCTTTTCCGTCCCAGACGGGCTCCGGACGGCCCAAGAGGCCCCAAAGATCGTCCCAAGACTGCCACAGAGGCCCAAAACGGTCCAAGAGGGCCTCCAGACGGGCCCGAGACGGCCCAAGAGGCCCCAAAGATCGTCCCAAGACGGCCCCAGAGGCCCCCCCAAAGGGGCCGAAAACAATCCAGGAGGGCCCCCAGACGGCCCAAGAGGGCCCCAAGGCGGCCCAAGAGGGCTCCCAGACGGCCCCAAGAGAGCCCCAAGATGACCCCAGGCCCAAGGGGCGCCCCAGGAGGAGGAGGAGGAGGAGGAGGAGGAGGAGGAGGAGGAGGAGGAGGAGGAGGAGGAGGGGAGGAATAAGGCTCCCAATTGCGAGCGGTGACGCAGCACGCGCTTACCAGCAAGGCTCCCAAGAGCGAGCGGTGACGCAACAAACTCTTACCGCCAAGGCTCCCAAGAGCGAGCTGCAACGTACGCATCTCTCGGCACGAGGACTCTGAACAGAGAGCGGTGACGCAGCACGCTCTTCCCAGCAAGGCTCCCAACTGCGAGCGGTGACGCAGCACGCGCTTACCAGCAAGGCTCCCAAGAGCGAGCGGTGACGCAACAAGGTCTTACCGCCAAGGCTCCCAAGAGCGAGCTGCAACGTACGCATCTCTGGTCACGAGGACTTTGAACAGAGAGCGGTGACGCAACACGCTCTTCCGAGTAAGGCTCCCAACTGCGAGCTGTGACGTAGCACGCGCTTACCAGCAAGGCTCCCAAGAACGAGCGGTGACGCAACACGCTCTTACCACCAAGGCTCCCAAGAGCGAGCGGCAGCGTACGCATCTCTGGGCACGAGGACTCTGAACAGAGAGCGGTGACGCAACAAGCTCTTACCAGCAAGGCTCCCAAGAGCGAGCGGCAACGTACGCATCTCTGGGCACGAGGACTCTGAACAGAGAGCGGTGACGCAACACGCTCTTCCCAGCAAGGCTCCCAACTGCGAGCGGTGACGTAGCACGCGCTTACCAGCAAGGCTCCCAGGAACGAGCGGTGACGCAACAAGCTCCTACCACCAAGGCTCCCAAGAGCGAAGGGTGCCATGAGCCATCTCGGGCGAGTTGCTGAAGCGCTCTTTCTGTTCCCGTTCCGGCCCAGGTGACGGAAAGCGCGCGTAGCGTGCGATCCTTTGGCCGGAAGGAGTTAAGCTGGGGGGGTGCAGAGGAGGTGGTATCCGCGGGCCCTCGGTTGAATGGTGTTAATGGCCCTAGTTTCCTCCCAAGAGGCCTCCAGAGGCTTCAGGATAGCCGTAGACGGTCCAAGATGGCCTCCAAGACGACTCCAGAGGGATCAAGAGGCCTCCACCTTCGCCCGAGATGCCTCCAAGACGGCCCAAGACGCCTCCAAGACGGTCCAAGCGGCCTCCAAGACGCCCCAAGAGGTTTCCAAGAGGCTTCCCAAGAGGGCCAAGAGAGGCAAACATCATGGATTTCCTGATGGTTTTTGAAAGGGGATTCTCGCTTTTTCAGCTCCCCGACGCTCCAAGACGGCCCCAGATGCCCCGAAGATCGCCCCAAGACGGTCCAAGAGGCCCCCAAGACGGCCCCAAGATGGCCGAAGAGGGCTGCCAGACGGCCCCAAGACGGCCCAAGAGGTCTCCAAGACAGCCCAAGAGGCCCCCAAGACGGCTCCAAGAGGGGCCCAGACGGGGTAACCGACGACGACGACCACCACGGCGACGACGACGACGACAACGATGATCACGACCACGATGATGACGGTGGTAGTGGTGATCATTGTGATCATGACCCATCGGAGGACGAAGACAATGCTGGTGATGATAATGATAATGTTGCTGATGATGATGATGATGATGATGATGATGATGATGATGATGATGATGATGATGATGATGATGATGATGATGATGATGATGATGATGGTGATGATGACGACGATGATCATGATGACGAGGAGTAGGATAAGGAGGACGAATAAGAGAAGGAGGAAGCGAAGGAGGATGAGGAACAACAACACGAAGAGGAAAGCCGTCCCTTGTGGCACCTCTCGCCTTCACTTCCGCAGGAGCCACACGCATTTCTTTTGGTACGTCGCTGAGCTGTTCTGAGTTCCTCTAAGACGTCTTCGGGGTCCATCGGGGCCCTCTTGGCCAAGCGAGGCCCTCTTCAGCTGTCTTGGAGGCCTCCTCCACGATCCCGAGGCCATCTTTAGACTATCCTGGGCACCCTTGGAGACATCTCGGGGACCTCCTGGAACTATCTTGGGCAATGTTCAGGGCATCCTCGACCGTGATCGTCGACTCTCGAACAATTCTGAAAACTCTTGGAGGCCATGTGAAACTGCGGGGGGCATCTCGCACTACGGATTCAGTTCGCACTTTCAGCAGTTTGAGATAACCAACACCCCCACAAGGGCGCGGAGAGACCACACCCATATTTTTCCAAAATCCCCCAAGAGGCTTCCATTAACCCCCTGATGAGCATTCCAGGAGATTCCAAGAGGAATACAACACGCCTCTAATTTATATACCATTGGTTTCATTCGCCCTACCTACGGTATCACTAAGCATTAGTTTCCTCCCAAGAGGTCTCCTGCGGTCTTGAGATAACCAAGGGCCGCGCCGAGATGCCACCATAATGCCCCAAGAGACCTTCCGGGCGGAACGGACAGGCCAGCGATTTATTGCGCCCTGAAAACGAATGCGCTTTCCGTCCCCGTGCCAAGCAAGTAGAATGGCCTTCGGCCAATCCCGCCACCGTGCCTGGGTTGTGAGGATGAAGCATACTGCGTGTTCGTTGGGATCTCGTGGGGGGCTTTTCGGACGCCTCTTGGAGGCAGTTTGGACGCCTCTTGGTAGCCGTTTGGGGCCTCTTGGGGCCTCTTGGGGGCATCCTGGGGGCCTCCTGGGGGTCTCTTGGGGGCCTCTTGGGGCCTCTTGGGGGCCTCTTGGGTGCCTCTTGGGGGCCTCTTGGGGGCCTCTTGGGGCATCTGGGCGCGTCTTGGGGCCTACTGGGGGCCTCTTGGGGCGGGGGGCTCGGATTTTCGCTTCGTGTTCCTTGTGTGGGGCTCCTTTGGGGGCCGTCTTGGGGCCTTCTTGGGCCGTTTTGAGCGCCTCTGGGGCGTTCTTGGGGCCCTCTTGGGTCGTTTTGGGCCTCTTGGGCCGTCTTGCAGATCCGTGTGTGTACACGCGTGTGCACATACGTACAGATAGGCATTACTACAGTTGCGCATGCGCACACATACGCACACACACAACAGCAGGCACCTTCACGTAGATGCACACATCGACAAATAACTGATCATGTCCACAAGCGTCGACGTCGGCGCCTGCGTACACGTCTGTGTCCACCACATAAACACACGTCAACTTTCAACCTAATAACACACGTGTCGATCCGCCCGCACGTCCGCATCACAATACATGTTTTCCGTAACCATTTTGGTTCAGGCCGCTTTGGCTAAAAGGAGCGCTCTTGATGGGCCGATTTTCCACCACCATTACCATGGGCGGAGGAGGAGGAGGAGGAGGAGGAGGAGGAGGAGGAGGAGGAGGAGGAGGAGGAGGAGGAGGACGGAGGAGGAGGAGGAGGAGGAGGAGGAGGAGGAGGCGACGGAGGACGAGGAGGAGGACCTCCCCTATCCTCGCTTCTCCCCCGCCCTGCCCCATGGCAGGGGTGGTGGAAGCTCGGCCCAGCAGCCCCACCCAGCCCACCGCGGCTGGCCACGGTGCCGCCGAGGCTGGGCCTCGCTTCTCTCTCCTCGCCCGCCTCCGAGCCCACCCCCCCCGCGCGATGCACGGCGGCGCGCCCGCCGCCCTCGGGCGCCTGCCCGCCCTCAGGCCTCCCGCCCTCGACCGCCTAGGCACGAGGAGGCAGGAAACGGCACGAGCACAGCCACGTTCGGAGCTCCGCGCGAGCCTGCCGCACCGGCGCCGGAGGAGGAGGAGGAGGAGGAGGAGGAGGAAGAGGAGGAGGAGGAGGAGGAGGAGGAGGAGGAGGAGGCGACGGAGGAGGAGGAGGAGGAGGGGGAGGAGGAGGAGGAGGAGGAGGAGGAGGAGGAGGAGGAGGAGGAGGAGGGAGGAGGAGGAGAGGAGGAGGAGGAGGAGGAGGAGGAGGGGGGGAGGAGGAGGAGGAGGGGAGGAGGAGAGGAGGAGGAGGAGGAGGGGGAGGAGGAGGTAGGAGGAGGAGGACGCCCGCCAGGGGCAGCGCCCGAGGCGTCCTCCAGGGGGGCCCCTGGCCCAGGATCCGAGGATGGGCATCACCCGAGCGTGCTTCTCGTTCGCGTGCGTCTGCGCCCCGTGGGGGGGGACGCGCGCGCGCGCTGAAGAAGCTCGCGGTGTGCGCTCGGCGGCGGGCGCTCTCTGGCCACACCGCCCGGGGAAGATGTTTCTGTAAGGTGTGTGTGTGTGTGTTTTCGCGCGTTGCCCCTCTCCTCACGCCGTAGGCGGCCTCGCCCGCGCGTGTAAATTAGATCGGCCCGTGGCCCGGACCCTTCAGCTCGGCGCCTGCGCTTTCGCTTGCGCCCGCGGGGAAAATTGTGTGTGTGTGTGTGTGTGCTGTATGTTTGGTTCGGACGTGCGCCTCCAAGGTGGACGCGTACAGTCGGCCCGGATCAGCAGGTCGACCCTGCCAGCTCAAGGGTGCCCTTGTGTCCTGAGCCTCGCGACACGTGCCTTCTTACACTCCTATGGCGATGTGGCCCTCGGAAGGGTCTTGTATCCTCTCGCGTGTCCTGTCCAATCAAGGCCGACTGTAGTACTGGTACGTCGTTCTGCGTCCCACAGAACTTCGAGCGAAGCTCCGAACGTTTTTGTTGATGCCGTTCGCTGCTCCTCGACCAGACAGCGCGTTCGCGGGCCTCTCGTCCGCGCAGCCGCCCGCCGCCGGCGAGGCGGAGGTCAACATCGCGCAACGTACCTTCACTCCCACTGGGCCGTGGCATCGCTCGGACGTGTGCATTCTTGTCGGCGAGGCCAGCGCCAGAAAATGTGAGCATAAGGGATCAGCTTGAGAAAAAAGGCACGCCCTAAACCGGACACGGCACAGGGAATGGACGTCCGAGCGATGGCAAGGTGCCATGGTATTTCAGCGGGGTCCCCACCAGTTCAACCTTCTACAGGTGGGGATGAGGAAGGGAGGGTCGGTGAATGGAAGAGGGAAAGGCAGTGGAGATGAGGGGAGGATGATTTGGAAGGCCAGGGTGGTTTCGGAGGGAAGGAGGCAGAGGGGAGGGGATAGGAGGGGAGGATGGTTGATAGGCCGCGCGACACCCGAACAAAACTACATACATGATCCAGGGCTTAGAGCCGCCTCCCCCGAGGCTGATGCATTCGGCCCCCCCCCCTCCCCCCTCGCGATGGGTCCCTACCCCCCCCCGGTTGGCGTGGCGTGGTGGACCCCCCTCCCCCCTGTGGACGTGGGGCGGTAGGGGGTGCCGGTGCCCTTCCCTTCCCCTTGTGGATCTGGGGTGGTGCTGCGGTGCCGTCGTCGTCGTCGTCGCTGCCGTCGTCGTCGTCGTCGTCGTCGTCGTCGCCGCCACCGCCGCCGTCGTCGTCGTCGTCGTCGTCGTCGTCGTCGTCGTCGTCGTCGCCGCCGTCGTCGTCGTCGTCGTCGTCGTCGTCGTCGTCGTCCCCTCTCCCATCCCATCTGGGGGGCGGGCTGTGTGGCCCTGGCATCCATCCCATCTGTGGGGGGCTGTGAACCCTCGACCAGGGATCACATATCCTCACTCAGGTGGGCAAGTCGGCCAGTGGGGCCAAGGCCGCGCCAGTGGGGACCGAGACACCCGACTTCTCATGTTTTTCCTCGGCATCGACCAGAGGTCTCGACCCATAACCCCCGACCGGCGTCTCATGCAGGGTCGTTTTGGTGGACGGTCCCCTGGCCCAGCGAGGGCATCCCAGAGGGCGAAATTGGCCCAAAACATTCCGTCGTGATTCGTGAGGAGGAGGAGGAGGAGGAGGAGGAGGAGGAGGAGGAGGGAGGAGGAGGAGGAGGGGGACCAGTGCAGTCCCCAGAGTCATCAACGATGTTGGAACAAACCCTCCCTTCAAGCTCCCTCTTCACAGGCCATCACGAGGGTTCATTTCCACTGCGGGAAGTACCTCACTGGGAGATAGCCGTTTGAAGACCCAGAAGCGTGCCAGAGCACTATTTTCGAGACTCCAGCGCTGGATCAACCTGATTGTTGCGTCTTGACGGTCCTGGATCGCGCCAGCACGCCGTTCTTGTGACTTCAGATTCAACGTAACTGTTGTACCCTCACAATCCTGAATCCTTCCAACACGCAATTTCTGGTAAGTCGATCACGGGAATCCGTGAAACTTGTGAAAATGTTTAAAACGAATGTGCGCGGCGCTCTGGCTAGAGCCACATTTTGAAAACCAGCCGCCCTCAATCCGTGAAGCTCTTGCATTGAAAGACGAATGTGCGCGGCACAGAGGCGAGAGCCAAATTGTGAAAACCAGCCGCAGTTAATCCGTGAAGTTCTTCCACGTTTAAGCATGTGCACGGCGCTCAAGCGGCGAGAGACGCATTATGAAAACCCACCGCCCTCATTCCGTGAAGCCCTTGCAATTTGTTCAAACGAATGCGCGCGGCGCCACGGCGAAAACCACATGTTGAAAACCAACCGCCCTCAGTCCGCGAAGGTTTTGCACATGTTTCAAACGAATGTGCGTGGCGCAGAAGCGAGAGTCACATTTTTGAAGCGACCCGCCCTACATCCGTGAAGCGGTTGTCAATTGTTGAGCTCCAGGGCCATCAAGGGTGAGGAAGTCTTATTCCAATTGCCCATTCCGCCGTTTCGACCGGCCTCGGGGTGCGACAGGGAGGAGTTAGTTATAAGGAAATGGATTGAAGGAGGAGGAGGAGGAGGCGGAGGAGGATGAATGTAAACCTAAGAGTCATCAGCGATGTTGGAATAGACCCTCCATCCAAGTTTCCTTGTCATAAGCCCTTACAGCGGCTCATTTCCACTGAGGGAATTGCCTCGTTGACAACCGTTTGAAGACCCAGAAGCAGCCCAAAACATTGTTTTCGGGATTCCAACGCCACGTATCAACCTGACTGTTGTGTTTTGACGGTGCTGGATCGTGCCAGAACATTCCTTGGACTCCAACGCCGCGATTCAACGTAACTGTTGCGCCTTCATAATGCTGAACCTTTCCAAAACGCCATTTCTGGTGCGATGATCATGGGAATCCGTGAAGCTCTCGCAAAGTTAAAGAAACGAATGTGCGCGGCGCAGAAGCGAGAGCCACATTTTGAAAACGACCCGCCCTCAATCCGTGAAACTTTTGCATCTTGTTTAAACGAATGTGCGCGGCGCAGAAGCGAGAGCCACATTTTGAAAACGACCCGCCCTGAGTCTGCGAAACTCTTCCCACTTGTTCAAACGAAAGTGTGCAGGGGTAAGGCGAGAGCCACATTTTGAAGACCACCCGTCCTCAACAAGTGAAGCTCTTGCAAATGTTGAAATTGAATGTGCGCGGCATCGAGGCGAAAACCACCTTTTGAAGAAGATCCGCCCGCCATGTGTGAAACGGTTGCCACTGTTTAAGCTGCAGGGTCATTTTAAAACGGCGAGGAAGTCTCAGGCGAAACGCCCAGCCCGCCCTGAGAACTGGTTTCGGGGTGCGTCCAGGAGATTTTATTTATGAGGAAATCGGAGGTGAGGGGGTGAGATCGAAGTGGAACGGAGAGCCCCCCTACCGGGAAATCGATTTCGGTTTCGTGTTCGTGCGTGCCGTGCGGGCGAGGCGAAGCTGCGTGGGCGGGCGAGAGAAAGTCTCCTGTGGCTGAGGCGCGGCCGGACCAAATGTCTCCCTTCCGGGCGGCCGGGGGCCCGCGGTGTCCCGCCGGTGTCCCGCTGGTGTCCCGTGTGGCTGAGGCGCGGCCGGACCAAATGACTCCCTTCCGGGCGGCCGGGGGCCCGCGGTGTCCCGCCGGTGTCCCGCGGTGTCCCGCGGTGTCCCGCGGTGTCCCGCCGGTGTCCCGCGGTGTCCCGCGAGGATGATGATGATGATGATGATGATGATGATGATGATGATGATGATGATGATGATGATGATGATGATGATGATGATGATGATGATGATGATGATGATGATGATGATGATGATGGTGGTGGTGGTGGTGGTGATGATGATGATGATGATGAAGATGAAGATGATGATGATGATGATGATGATGATGATGAGATGATGATGATGATGGTGTCCCGATGAGGATGATGATGATGTTGATGATGGTGTCGATGTGTCGATGATGATGATGATGATATTAGTGTCCCGATGATGAGGATGATAATGCTCATGATGATTACTTTGATGATGATGACAATGATGGTGTCCCGATGATGATGATGATGATGATGATGATGATGATGATGATGATGATGATGAAGATGATGATTCCGATGATGTTGGTGATGATGATGTTGATGGAAATGGTGTCCCGGGGATAATTATGTTGATGCTGATGATGTTGATGATGATAATGGTGTCCCGATGATGATGCTGATGATGATGATGATGGTGATGATGATGATGGTGATGCTGATGGTGTTCCGATGATGATAATAATGATAATGACGATGTTGATGATGATGTTGCTCGTGATGATGATGGTGCCCCAATGATGATGATGTTGTTGATGATGATGTCGATGATGATGATGCGATGATCATGATGATGATGGTGTCCCGAGGATGATGACGATGTTGATGATAATGTTGATGATGAGAACTATGGTGATCATGATGGTGTCCCGATTATGATGATGATTATGATGATGCTGCTGATGATGATGACGATGACTGTGTCCCGATGATGATGATGATGTTGATGATGAGATGATGATGGTGATGATGATGATGATGTTGTCCCGATGGTGATGCTGACGTTGATGATGATGTTTATGATGATGATGATGATGATGATGATGATGATGATGATGATGATGATGATGATGACGGTGCCCTCATGATGATGACGATGTTGGTGATGATGTTGATGTTGATGTTGATGATGATGATGATGATGATGATGATGATGATGATGATGATGACGTTGATTGTGAGAGCGATTGTGATATCGATAGTGAGATCGATATTGAGACCGAATGTGAGATCGATTGTGTGATCGATTGTGAGATCGATTGTGAGATCAATTGTGAGATCGATCGAATGAGATAGATCGAGTGAGATCGCTTGTGAGATCGATCGAGTGAGATCGATCGAGCGAGACCGATAGTGAGATCGATACTTAGATCGATAGTGAGACCGATCGAGTGAGACGTTGGTTCCCCCCCCCCCCGAACCTCCTTATCACCCGAAGGGTGGTCGTATAGGTATTACAGAGGAGGATAAAGAGAAAAAGGAGGAGGATAACGAACAAAAAAGGAGGAGGAGGAGGAGGAGGAGGAGGAGGAGGAGGAGGAGGAGGAGGAGGAGGAGGAGGAGGAGGAGGAGGAGGAGGAGGAGGAGAGGGGGATCGGTTCAATGGTGCTCAAGAGGGCGGCGAGCAGCCACCGCGGCTGGAGGCGCTGCTGGCGGAGCTTGTCGTCCAGCTTGAGCTCGGGCAGCGCCGCGCGCTCGAGGCGTTCGCGGAGGCCCGCGCCAGCGGCCCGCACTCGGCGCCGCGCTCGCCGGAGAGGCCGAGGTGGGCGTCCTCTTCCCCCTCTTCCTTCTCTTCCTCTTTCCTCTCTCCTTCCTCCTCCTCCTGGTCCTCATCCTCGTTGTCCTCCTCTCTCCTGTCTCCTCTTCCTCCTCCTCCTCCTTCTCCTCCTCCTCCTGCTCCTCCTCCTCCTCCTGGTCCTCCCCCCTCTTATTCGAGCGGGACCTTGCCATTCAGACCCTGTCTCCTTGCTCTTGTAATCGTCTCTCTTACCGCCGTGGTTTTCTGCTCGGGGGCACGAAAGCTGGCCAAGCTTTCGTGCTCGTGTCATTCTCGTTGTACGTTGTATACACACGGTGTTATACTTCGTTTCGTTCCAAACAGCAGTCTTTTAACACTCACCTTTTGCTTTCAGTTGGAAGCGGAGCTTTGGTTCCCGTCCACACGCCTCCGCGGTGCCTTCCCGCTGCCCTGCCTCGACGGCGATGGCTCCCCATTTCCACTGTCATATACAACCTTTTGAAGGATGACTTCAACGAGGACGCCGTGCTATCCCCCCTGCCGCGCCCCTGGCCCACAGGATCGTGTTCACCGTGATTGTGACCCTTGATTTGCTCATCGTCGCGGGGGAGGCGCACCCGTACCATTTCGAAGATATCAACCTGAAAGACGCGCACCCACCCCTCCAGCGCTACCTTGTGGGCTAGCTCGAACTATGTTCGGGCAGCTCGCGGACACAACACCATTATCGCATCCGCCTGTGGGTGTGGCCGCCGACGTCAAACAGTTAATCGAGACAACGTTCACGTGTCCGGCGCTTGCAGCTAGAGGATTCCGCGGTACTTGCGGCTATGATGCAAGAGTTTGGGGGAAAGAGGCAACAAACACAACGCCTCCATTGCACCCGCGTGCGGGTGTAGCCGTTGGTGTCAGACAGTCGATTGATCCGACGTTCACATCAACGGTGTAGGCCAACAGTCCCGAGTTCTCTGCGACTATGTCGCAGAAGCTGGGGGTGGCTCAGGCAGGCAAGAGCGACAAGATAATGGAGGGTCCGTCGACTATGTTGTCGGCTCCTACGCAGCGCATCTGGGAGCAACCGTTTCCGATATCCTGGAACCTGACCTTCCACATTATTCACGCACTCCCTGCTGCCTGGCAGAGCTGGACCCCTATGCAGACTCCTGCCGACTATCGTGCAGCCATAACGCGACGCACGACGAGTACTCCCACAACTATGTTGTGGGGTGGTCTCGGTGCCCGTCGCGCACCAAGCATGGGACAGAAGAAAAAACGCAATACGCTGACCAGGAAGAGCACGCACGGGACCGAAACCCATGACGGCTTCGATATTATCTGCCTGAGCGCCGTCGTCGTTGGTGGATCTCAGGAACCCAGGGACATCGCTCCGGATGGACGGCCATCGGCGAGGGCATTATCGCAGCCGCCAGTTGCATGGCCTCGACATCTTCCGAAACAGGGCGCAGCAAGCTGGTCAATTCATGATCGTTCTCGAGGGTCTCAGCTACCTCATGCTACGCGCGGTCGGCGCGTCGAGCGCCCAGCTCACCGCGACCCCGCATCACCGCGACATGGCCCGCACTACGAACGCGCAGCATCTGGAGCACATGACGAGCCAGATGCATCAAGGGTTCGGCCGCGCGCCCATCCCAACGCCAGAGGTTCCTCGCGGGTGGGCCCTCGCAAGATCAGACTCATAACTAATTAATGCCTATGGCACTGCAGCCGGATCGAGCTGGGATGGCGTGGGGCCTGATGCCTTGGGAGCGGCGCCGACCCCGCCTGCGACCGCGGCCGCTGCCGGCCCCAGCGCGGCGCCGCCAGCGCAGGTGGCGCGCCCTGCAGCGGGCGTCGACTCAGGCGCCGACTCCGACGCCATCAGCTCGCTCGGCGAAGAGATTGCTACCGATGATCCCGAAGCACGCGAAGTTCCCATGGAACAGCGCGGGGCGCAATTCTGGGCACGCGAGCGCGCCAAGTCCCGATGGCGCCGCTTCAGCGACAGCAGGCCCACGCGCCGCGCCCAGGGGGTCGTCGAGCGCAAAGATCAGGGCGACGGCAAAGGTAACCGCGCTTCCCTGGCCGACCTGTCCGAAGACGATTTCTGGGAGACCTTTTCGCGCGTCGGGAAAGGCGCGCGGGAAACGGTGAGCGCTGGACCAGTGGGATGGGATTTGGCCGCAAAGGCAACCCACTTGGCCCAGGCGGGATACGTCTCGAGTGCCGCGAGCGTGACGTTGAGGGGCACCTCGTGCGCGACCGCCCTCAACGCCGCCAGCGCGGGCGCGCCGTCTTCCTTTGCGCCCCAGCCTCGGCAGCGCCACCACCGCCGCTGGCATCCTCATCACTCGCGCACCTGGGGCATCATGAACCGCCTGGGCCAGCCGCTCAACGGCCTGGAACAGCAGCTCAACGGCCAGTGCCAGGCGCGCGCGCGCGCGGTCTGGATGACCAGGGGCACCTCGGATATTCCCCCACCTAGGGTTCTGGGATTGGATCTTGGCGATCCCACGCAGAATGCCGATCCCTGGAACGGCGGGCGACCGACCCCAGCTTCGATCGTTGCGCAGTCAGTTCCAGCGGCGGCTCCAAGTACGTCGTCCGACTGCTCGCAGCAGGCAGTTGGCCAATGCTGCTGGTCGGGCTGGGCGGAAGCCTCATCCTCTTCGTCTTCCTCTGAGCCGCATTAGGCTGAACTGCGTCGACTGCGCCGAGGGTTGGGCGACGCCAAGGCCTCGCGCGGCCCGGTTCTGCTCAGCTGGCGCGCCTGGTAGCTGCGTCGCTGGCCCGCGCGGCTGACGTGGGCGGCGCGGCGCCCGCTGCGCCCGCGGCGCCCGCAGCTCCAGCGGCATCAGCGCCGCCGACGTCGCCGCGCTGGGCCCGAGTGGCCGGCGCCTTCCCGCCGGGGAGACAGCAAGGGCGCGAGTGGGCGAGCGACATCAGCGCCCGCGCCGTCACGCCCGCGACCCCCCTGCCGACGCGCAGTTGCAAAGCTGAGATTTCATGCCATCAGTTTCAGCCCTCGGCATCAGCGCGCCACGCGCGTCGAGCTTCGCGCTGCCGCTTCGGCCCACGCTGGCAGCCGCGTCGCCGCCGCGCCGGAGTCTCCAGACGACTGGCTCAATCCGCGCGCCCCCGTCCAATCGGAACGCGACGCGGGCGCGAGCCGACGGGCCCAGCCTGCGGCGCCGGCCCGCCTGGCATCGAGCAGCGAAGCGCCCCGCGCGACTCCGCCGCAGCAGGGCCACCGACGCCAGGGGCTCATTGGCAAGACGTTTCCGGTCGCCAGGCAGCGCGTCCTGCTTCATGTCCGACACTGACGCGGCAGCACCTTGCGACGCGCAGCTGGGCCCGCGCGCGCCGCCGTGCCCGCGCGCGCTCCCGCGGCGGCTCGCGTCGCCAAGCGCCGGCGCGGGTTCTTCGCTCGACTCCTCGCGCCGCCTGGCGAGCGCCGACCTCCAAGGCGGCCGGATAGACGCCGCCGTCGACGCCGGCGCTGGACCAACGGCTCGGCATTGAGATTCGCCACGAACCTGGCCGACAAGGCGCAGACGGGCCCGCGGAGGAGAAGTTGTCGACTCCATTCTCGCGGAGGAGAAGCTGTCGACTCCGTTCTACGCGGCAGGAGTGGGCAACGGCTCAAAGGTTGCGCACTGGGAGCTACAACGCTGCCCCAGTGCAGTTGCCACCCGCGACGGCGCGACCGCGCGGCGCAGCGTGCGTGCTCCTGCGCCGGAGGGCCACGGCTTCGATCTCCTCGCCGCGCTCTGTCTGCAATCCATGCGGGCGCAGCACGCGCAAGCGCCTTGCGTTCCCAGGGCCCGGCGGCAGCGGGATCGATTGCGGCCCGGGCGCGATCCATCGACGTGGAGTCGGCTCCAAGTGGCCACCTATGCGCACCAGTTGACAGCTCTGATCGACTCTAATCGCCATCCGGGGGAATACCGCCCAAGCGGCTTACGCAATTCGCCGCGGGCAACGGCGACCAGGGTGACGACGCCAGCGACGGCCGCGAATTCGAGAAGCCCCAGATCCAGTTTCTGAGCCTTAACGCACAGGCGCCAATGCGGGGCACGCTGTAGGCCGCAGGCTGCGACCCGCGCGCAAGCGCTGACGCCAGTATCCAGACTTATGGTTGGGAACTGGTGTTTACAGGCGCGGCCGCTCTTGCTCCGCCAGGCACCTGCCTGCGGGTCGCCCCGCGTTCGGGACTTCCCCCCAGGGGCATCGGCGTCGCGGGCGGATTGGCGGGCCTCGACTACCGCGGAGAAATCAAGGTGATTATGCGCGACGCAAGCCCGCGGGCGTTCGCGGTCGAGCAGGGCCAACGGATCGCCCAACTCATCCTCGAACGCATCATCGCGGATTCCGAGGTCGCGGTCGCCCCCAACTTTATTCCATCCTTCCGTGGACCAGGTTGCTTTGGACATGCTGGCACGACGTGCCTCAGCTACGACAGGATCCACAGCCGGGGCGACCGCGCAGCATCCGCAGGGTCTTTCGGCGACGATGTTTTCCGAATCTCCCACGCAGCAGCCCCGCGAGCAGGAGGGCGGGCCAGCCTGCCCCAGCCGCCCTGCCCCTGCAGAAGTGGGCAGAAGGACCAGGTCGCCCCGCCCAGGTCCTGAAGAGAGGAAGGGCATATCGCTAGCACTACAGGGGCACGGCTATGACCTCATACGCACCGCATCCTGCCCGGGCGCCATCAGGCCACTGTCCAAAGGCAAGTTTCCCAGCACAAATTATTGCATGCCGTCGATCACGTGCGACGCGAAACGGGACGGAATGCAATCAATATTCGGCCCCCTTCCCGATTGGCGCGCACGGGCCCAGGGCGCCGGCGCCAGACTCGGGATCTTCGGACTACGCGGATCTCAGTGGCAACGTCCAGCCGTGAAGCAGAGCACCGACACCAGCGGGTTGCATTCCAGCAAGCACCGAGCTTGCCAAAGACCTCTCATCCCAGAGGCCAGGCCCAGTGGCATAGCCTTCGTGACGCCCGCGGGCGCACCCGCCCTCAACCA